GTTTAGGGGTTTATATGGTTTAGGGTCTAGGTTTCGGGTGTCGGCGCACGGCTGTGGATGAAGAGTCACAGGAGTTCACAACAAGCTTTCGGACACATAGATATAGGGGCCTGAATACTTAGAATAGAGTCTGGCTATGCCTTGCTTGGGGTAGTATAGTATCATGCTGTACAATGATTCGATAAAGAACCCTCCGGAAAGATACAGGAAATTAGCACGCCAATCTCGATTTGGGCATGAAGTGGGCCGTATTTCAAAGACTAACCCTAACCCCCAGGTACCTACTATATGGGGTTCTACAGCCCCTAGGGCCCCATATAGTAGGTACCTGGGGGGTTAGGGTAAGCTCACGCAGAACTTTTCCCGGAACTCCCCATCCGAAAACGCCCCGAAGACGACTCCCAAACCTCCGCGACGAGGGCGCAGGGAGGTGACAGCGACTGGGGCGGCGTCGGAAGCCTCGGGGGCTTAGGCTTTAGGGTCTACCTTCCTTTTTTTGGGTTTAACCAATATTATACTAAGGAACCTATAAGGTAACTCCAAAAAGGAACTGGAATGGAGACTATAGGTAGGGTTTAGGGTTTAGATACACTCCGCGACGAGAAGATTCTTTGATGAATCCATATACAACTTAGCTTTAAAATCTATACGTGTAGTTTATACGACGCTCGACTTATCTTTAAACATGCTCTAAGGTCCATTCCTTACTCAAGGCCTGTTTTGAATCTTTCGGTCGAACCCTACATAACCCACCCCCCCTGGAGCCGAAAAGTGCCGGGATCCCCGCCCTAACGGCTACGGGTTCTTCTTCGTGGGGCTAGGGAGTACAAGATTTCAGGGCTTTTCAGGGCTAGGTCGTATAAGGCTTTAGGGTTTAGGGCTAGGGCTTACAAGGTTTTAGGGTGTAGGGCTGCGGCGTATAAGGTTTTAGGGCTTAGGGTTTAGGGTTAGGGCCAGGGTTTGTGGGCTTTAGGGTTTAGGGTGCAAGGCTTTAGGGCTTGGGCTTTCAAGGTTTTAGGGTTTAGGGCTAGGGCTTATGCCTAGGGTTTAGGGTTTTAAAGGGTTTAGGTTTTATTAGGGTGTTAGTCTTCAGGGGCGGTTGAACAAGGAGAACACACCTATGACCTACGCGCAATGAAGTCTAGAACGCCCTCAAGGCACAAGCCCCCAAGAACCGAAGCGCTGCAGCCTAATCGACTATGCCTATGAACCCTGAGGTCCCAAAACCATCAAAGCCTCACAGCCTCAACTCAAGAACATAGGAACCTCATCAGGTTCCTACCTAAACCCTAAACCCTAAACCCTAAACCCTAAACCCTAAACCCTCATCAGGTTCCTACATCTTGATCAGGTTCCTACCTTCCTCAACTCTCAAACGAAGGCTTCACCCCGAGGCGCCTCGAGGCCAGCGCCATGAGCTCTCACTTCGGCTTTGATCGAGGTTTATTTAGGGTTTAGGGTTCAGGGTTTAGGGCCCTTTGAAAAATTCAAAGGTCTAAAACGAGCCCTTCGTTAGTAATCTGATAATGAGAACTTGCAAGCAAAAAACAAACAAGTCAACAACACTAACATTTAACATATGTATATATATATATGGATATATATATATATATATATTTATATTTATATAAACACATCATGTATTGCGGGACGATAGTGGGGATACTATTCCTGGACCAGGTCGGTGGGAGAGCCAAACATGAAAGGCTTCTCTGTGCGAAGGTCTCGGGGTCGGGGCCTGGGTGTCGGGTTCGGGCTTTGGGGTTTAGGGTTGAGCTTTTTAACCTGAGGTTTAGGGCTCATGTAGGATTCAAGGTCTTAGGATTGGGTTTAGGGTCGGTGTGGTCTTCTTTCTTTTGTGTTTGGGCCGGTAGGGGCGTGGGGGGGGCTTCGGGTTGGAGAACGAGGACGAGGGCCTCGGCTTCTTGCCGGAAACCCTCCACCTGCTTGGGCCAAAGATGACGACGGCACCAACACCATGAGATGCAGCAAACACGCACTCTGCAAAAAAGCCTAAACCCTAAACCAGGTAGCTTCTTTTCACCCTAAACCAGGTAGCACCTTTTTGAGGCGAGCCAGCCATCGCAACGCCTCGAAGCCAAGATCCGCAGATTGACCAAGGCGAGCCCTTGGTGTTCAGGGCATTGGTTTGAGCTTGCAGTTGGAGGTTTCGAGAACGTAAATATGTGTGTGTGTGTGTATAATTGTATATATACATATATATATATATATATACATATATATATATATACACATATACATATACATATCTATATATATATACATATACATATATATATATATATACATATATATATATATATATATA